CAATACTTCGCCTATGAGAGCCTGGATGACTCTCTCCACAGACCTCTGCAGCTGCCCCTCGTCTGCCCGGCTCAGCTTGGCCTGCACTGTTGCTGCAGGAAGCCCTTCTCCACCCCACCCGGACCCCAGCCCGGCTCTTCCCGCACAGGCGGCTGCGCTCAGGGATGCCCTCGCTGCCTTGCTCGGTCTGCACTCTGCACGCACTCAGAGGCTCCTGAGCAGCGACGACACCCACATAGGTGCCCCGGAGGCAGCAGCGGCTCCTCCTCCTGCCCCGCGAAGGGGCAGCTCGGGGCCGGGCGAAACGGGAGGAAGCCATTGTGGTTGTTGTTTAGTCGTTTAGTCGTGTCCGACTCTTTGTGACCCCCTGGACCAGAGCACGCCAGGCACCTCTGTCCTCCACTGCCTCCTGCAGTTTGGTCAAACCCATGCTGGTAACCTCAAAAACACTATCCAACCATCTTGTCCTCTGTCTCCCCTTCTCCTTGTGCCCTCCATCTTTCCCAACATCAGGGTCTTTTCCAGGGAGTCTTCTCTTCTCAGGAGGTGGCCAAAGTATTGGAGCTTCAGCGTCAGGATCTGTCCTTCCAGTGAGCACTCAGGGCTGATTTCCTTAAGAATGGAGAGGTTTGATCTTCTTGCAGTCCATGGGACTCTCAAGAGTCTCCTCCAGCACCATAATTCAAAAGCATCAATTCTTCGGCGATCAGCCTTCTTTAAAATGAAGAATGATTTTAATCAACATAAACTTACAGTGGTACCTTGGGTTACAGACGCTTCGGGTTACAGACGCTCTAACTAGAAATAGTACCTCAGGTTAAGAACTTTGCTTCAGGGTGAGAACAGAAACCGCGCGGTGGCAGCAGTGGGAGGCCCCATTCGCTAAAGTGGTGCTTCAGGCTAAGAACAGTTTCAGGTTAAGAACGGACTTCTGGAACGAATTAAGTTCTTAACCCAAGGTACCACTCTATAAATATTTCAATGGGAAGTATGGGCCTGCTAATTTATGTTGGTCAGGAGAGAATCAGCTAAATAATCATGGGCGGGCGTTTTTCTCTCCCCCACCCCACCCCCCAAAAACTGCAAAACGTGGGAGCAGTGGGAATGGCAGTGAAAGGGCAAGCCTGGAAAGTGAGAGGAAGAGAGAGGGGCTTAGGAAGGGAGAAAGCAGAGTGGGGGGTTTGTGTGTCAAATTCAGGAGGTAGCTGCACTTTTCGAAATGCTTCTCTGCTTTGGAACTTGCAGGGGCTGGAAATAGACAGTTCCACCCCACCCCATCTTCTTCCGCCACCCCAGAGATTAAAATGGTAGCGCTGGGTGGCACCCGCCCACTCGCTAACCTGCAGCCCTTCAGGGATCTCTCCCTGGAGAGAGCCAACCCCTTCCAGAAGAAGTTAAAACTTGCAAAGGCTACCAAGGCATGGAGCTGAATTCTCCTCACACACACCCCCGCCATAAAAAAAGGACAGTGGGAATTTGCAAAAAGGGCTGCCTCACATGAGTAGACTGGCGCCAGTGCGCAGAGAAAGAGACGCTGAGCTTTTCTTGACAGCATCCCAAACTCCTCCAACAGTGGCAGGTTGCAAAGGCGAGACGTGCATGCTGGGTGGGGTATGCGGGGCTTGCGAGATGGGAAGGAGAGTGGTGGGGAAGCGGGAGACCTGGAGGGGCGGCGACTGAGCCGCGAGGGGCCCCAGCAGCGGTGCTGCCTTCCGCCTGAAGCGCCTGCGCACAACGCCTCCTGGCCGCCATTTCCTGCTCCGCCCTCTCCACGTCTGGCCTGGGACCCCCCAGCACCAGAAGCCAGACAGCCAGCAGCAGCAGCAGCAGCGAGAACTGAATTTAGGACCTTGGCGGGCCTGATCCGGCCTGTGGGCCGTAGTTTGAGGACCCCTGTCTTAACCTGACCCTCTCTCTTCTCAAATCCATCCCTATCTTCTCAAATCAAGCCCCATCTCTTCACCTGACCCGTAGCCCTATCTCTCTCTCCCTCCCTCCCTCTTTTTATCCTCCCTCTCAAAGTTCTGCTCCTCCCCCTCTGTGACTTTGTAGCCAATCGGTGACAGGCTCCTTCACTCTGACAGAATTTCAGGGAGACTGCGCCAGCAGACTCTGGCCTGGCTCTGCTGTCCGTCACACCTGTCCTTAAGTCGAGGGGTGTCTGGGTTCCTTGACAGTGTGTGGCCAGTTCCTTGTTGGAGCTCGGAGAGCTATCTAACCACCTAGGGTCTTTGTACTAATTTTAGCCAATGCATTCAAATGGAGAAGGGAGGGGAGCTTTGAGTTGAACAAATCCTTTAATTCCAGTATTTCTATTGTTCTACTGTCTCTTCCTAGAGGGTTTCCCAAAAAGGGACACGGGTGGCGCTGTGGTCTAAACCACAGAGCCTAGGACTTGCCGATTAGAAGGTCGGCGGTTCGAATCCCCGCAATGGGGTGAGCTCCCGTTGCTCGGTCCCTGCTCCTGCCAACCTAGCAGTTCGAAAGCACGTCAAAGTGCAAGTAGATAAATAGGTACCAGTCCAGCGGGAAGGTAAACGGCGTTTCCGTGCGCTGCTCTGTTTCGCCAGAAGCGGCTTAGTCATGCTGGCCACATGACCCGGAAGCTGTACGCCGGCTCCCTTGGCCAGTAAAGTGAGATGAGCACCGCAACACCAGAGTTGGTCACGACTGGACCTAATGGTCAGGGGTCCCTTTACCTTAGAGAGTTTCCTGCTTTTTCCCTTTACCTTAGAGAGTTTCCCATTGTTGTTGAAGGCATGAAGGTGGCGCCTGCCGGTGGTTCAGATACTTCAGCTGCTGCAGAATTTGACAGTCAGGTTGCTCAGCGAAGCAAGACAGTGTGAGCATATTACACTGATCCTGGTCCAACCACACTGGAAACCAATTAGTTTCTGAGCCCAATTCAAAGTGCTGGTTTGGACCTATAAAGCCTTAACAGCTCAGGATCACAATACCTCAAATATTGCCCCAGGCTGGATATCACCCTCTAAGACACTTCTTCATGTGCCTCTTCCATGTGTGGAGGGTGACAAAACAAGACTGGGACTTTTCTACAGTGGCTCCGTTTGTGGAAAGCTCTCCACAGGGAGCTTTGGCTGGCACCTTCATTATGCGCCTTTAGGTCCCGAGCGAAAACATTCTTCTTCAACCAGGACTTTGGCTGAATAAAGGGCAGGTAATAAATGAAATATACAAATGTCTGTAGTAATAAAAAACACATCTTTGTGGGGAGAAGCTCTCCTGCACAAAACTGCTGCATTAAAAATAAAATTTGCTATTGCATGTACAGAAAGTGGGGAAGGAGAAGGAAGGGACCAGCGGCCTTTTATGCGAGTGATTCCAAATCCTTGCATGACTTGCAGGCCACACAAATATTTTTTTTTAAAGTTGACTGCCCTTTGGGGCAAATCTGGTACATCACAAAACATGTATTTCACAAATTAGTTTTCCAAAATGGTGTGTTTCCGGGCTTAGAGCAGCACACATGATGTGGAAATTCATGAAGGAGTTCCTGACCAGAGATCCAAATAAAACCAGGTAACGGAAGCAAAAATATTTATTGTGCACACCGAGGATTTATTATCCGCTTCTCACAGGATTTTTTCCCACGAACAAAAATATAGCTGGGACTGACTGCTGAGACCATATAACACCGGTCCTGAAAGACCTACATTGACTCCCACAATTCCAAGTGTTAGTGCTGACCTTTAAAGCCCTAAATGGCCTCAGCCCAGTATACCTGAAGGAGCGTCTCCACCCCCATCGGTCCTCCTCCAAAGCCTTCTGGTGGTTCCCTCACTGCAAAAAGTGAGGATACAGGGAACCCTGCAGAGTGGCGCCCGTCCTATGGAACATCCTCCCTTCAGATGTCAAGGAAATAATAAATTGATGTTTTATTGTGTTTTTAATATTCTGTTGGGAGCAGCCCAGAGTGGCTGGGGAGGCCCAGCCAGATGAGTGGGGTATAAGTAATATTATTATTATTATTATTATTATTATTATTATTATTATTATTTGTACTACTACTACTACTATAGGATTCTGCGGCAGTAACCAATCAGCTTCTAACATGTTAAGGCATGAGAAATACTACTTTCTTGTTACTCACTTTTGCCTATACAGTCCATCTATCTGTACATAACTGTATCTGCAAAGGCCTACAAACGGTATATGTTTATTGTTTGTACCATTATGGTCATATGACATATATACATAAATATGGCATTAAAATACAGTATCAGTCTATATTACACACACACAAGTAAGTTTTTAGATGTCATTCCCAATTAAATCTTTACAGTCCACCATGTTCTCCTCAATGAACATTCTCAATTTTTGGGCAGCAACTTTGTCACAGATTTCTCAAACAAGACAACATATATGTGACTTTCAGTTGATCATCCGCATCAGGTATCTTACATAACAAATCAAGGATAACCTTGGTTCAGAATAGAGAGAGCATATTGGTAGAGGTCTACTGCTTAGTTAAGGCATACACAAAGATGCTGTTCTGCGATAATTTTTTATAGCGTCCCTCTAAATATTCTGAGCACATAGTCTGAAAACAAAAGTCAGAAATGCTTGCCTAAATGAACAGATTGGTAAATCAGAGGGAAATTCTCAAGTTCGTGTCTTATTTTAATTAAATACCAATGTGGGGCAGTGTTCAAAATTCGCCAGGCGCCAGACACAGTTTGCACCTGGCTACTGGCGACTTATCACTAGACAGATGGATATACATACTCCCAAAACTGTTTTACTGAGCCTGAACTTTTGCGACAGTAAAGTATTTGGTCCTTAAGCTGCTTCCTTGCTGTACTGGAAAAGCCCTCGTGCATGGATGAAGGTGAAGAATTGCACATCGTTAAAGAGTGAGCTACTAACTCCCTACTAGGAAACACTGGTCTGCGAGTGCTCCAATTGGAGAACAGCTTTTACCACTGTAACAGAAGCTCTTTCCACACATCAGCTTTCATAGGGTTAGTCTCCTGAATGAGTTATCCGGTGTCGAGAAAGGTGATGACTGCGGCAGTAGCTCTTTCCACACTGCAAACATTTATATGGTTTGTCCCCTGTGTGAATTCTCCTATGTGCATGAAGGGTGCTAGAGTCACTGAAGCTCTTTCCACACTCCATGCATTTATAAGGTTTTTCACCTGTATGAAGTCGTCGATGCACATTAAGGGAGGCACTCTGATTGAAGCTCTTTCCACACTCCATGCATTTATATGGTTTTTCCCCTGTGTGAGTTCTTTGATGTTTAGTAAGGGTACTACTGTCAAAGAAACTCTTTCCACATTCCCAGCATTTATAAGGTTTCTCCCCTGTATGAGTTCTTTGATGCAAAGTAAGGTAGCTACTGGATCTGAAGCATTTTCCACACTCCATGCATTCATAAGGTTTCTCCCCTGTATGAGTTATCTGATGCACATTAAGTTGGCCACTGTTTCTGAAGCTCTTTCCACACTCCATGCATTCATAAGGTTTCTCCCCTATATGAGTTCTTTGATGCACATTAAGTTGGCCACTGTAACTGAATCTCTTTCCACACTCCATGCATTCATAAGGTTTCTCCCTGTATGAGTTATTTGATGTCTAATAAGGTTGCTTCTGGCACTGAAGCTCTTTCCACACTCCATGCATTCATAAGGCTTCTCCCCTGTATGAGTTATCTGATGCATATTAAGTTGGCCACTGTTTCTGAATCTCTTTCCACACTCCATGCATTCATAAGGTTTTTCACCTGAGTGTACGCTTTGATGTGTAGCAAGGGCTGAGCGACTACAGAATCTCTTTCCGCACACAGTACATTCATGTTTTTTCTCCACCCTGTTAAGTTGATTTTCATCTTCTTGGGAAACACTGTGTTCATCCCTTGGCTTCACTGTTTCTCTCCTCTCTTGTTTGTTGGCTCCATCTTGAACCCCCAACTTCCTTTCGTTCTCTTGCGCCTCACCTCTTTCTGGCCAGGCTTCTGGTGGTTCCTCCTCATCCAGGACCCCCCAAACATCTCCTGATGGAATAAAAAAATTAAAATAAAGGTTGATACAGCTGTTTCCTTATCAAAACTCAAGGCCTGTCACTATGTTAACGGCGTTTTACATTAAAACAATGATGTGATACCTGGTTTTAATAAAATATCACCAGTTATTTGTATCAGAAAAGTTCTGGTGAGCAGCCCCTAAGATTAACCAAGCCATAAATAACACAATTTAAACCAGCAGGCAATAACATCAACAGAGCCTGCCTGCCTATGGGCCTGTGTGAGGTGGCTGTCTCAGGTGTCACCCCCAAAGGGGCGTCACTGCTCAGCTTTGCTGCTAGTCTCCCCGGCCTCCAGGGCTGAAGTGGGATGGGCAGCAAAGCTCTGTGAGTCCTCTCCCCTCCAGCCAAGTCCCGAAAAGGATCCTCCCCCAACAAGGGCATGTCCACAAGAGGGCAGACATTCCACCATTCAGCTTTGTCAGGATCTGAAAAGGCTCTTTGCCAGTGAATGGGGGGAGGCGTCTGCACCCCTTGGAGGTCTCGTGGGGACCACCCCACCCAACTTGCAGGGGTACGCTCCTTATGGATTTTGAGCCCCCATTGTGGGGGCAGAAGTGAGGCCACCCCTGAGCATTGATAATACAGCACTGCAACTCAGAGAAGCTTGAAAAGCCTAGATCTGCAGAGCTTGTTGAAAAACCAAAATGAATAATAACAATAGTAGCATTTATTTCATTTATATCCCAACCGTCTGGCTGGGTTTCCCAAGCCTCTCTGGGTGGCTTGCAGCATATATAAAAATGCAATCAAACCTCAAATATTAAGAAACAGAAGATTCTATATATGCAACAAACAAACCAATACATCAATAGAAACCAATAACAATAACAAGATACTCAAGTATTCTACAAATTAGGATCCCCACACAGAAGATTTTTAGTATGCTTTTTCTACCATTCTCCATGCTAGATTGCCACAATGCATTATACTTCAGGCTGCTTTAGAAGACCGTTCAGAAACTACAGAGTGCTGACCGGTGCAAGAGGCTCTGAGCATATCTGGTTTGCTGTCTTCAAGTCAAGGTGCTGATTTTGACTTATGTAGCTCAAGGACTGCTTCTCATGAATCCACCTAGAGCCTGCACTCATCATCAGAGGTCCTTCTCACAGTGCCCTCTCCAATTGAGGTGCAAAGAGAGGCAATACGGAATGCGTCTTTCAGTGCTGGCTCCCCACCTAAAGAATGCTCTCCCCAGGAGGCAACCCAGAAGCCATCAATGGCTAATTGTAGCAGAGAAGCAATAATATTTATTCTCAGCCAGGCTTCTGGCCTTTAACTTAAGAGAAAAACAAACACTGTGACCTCCTTTAGCGGAGCTGAAGGGAGGCACTCCGAGGAACCCATACCTATTATAACTATTAATGAAGGCGCAAAGGATCCTTACCCTGAGAGGCCACCATCTCATGAACCTCCACCATGACGTCCTTGTACAGAGCTCTCCGTAGGGCCCAGTTGTCGTCAGCGAAATGCAAGGACACCTGTCAAAGCTCACTGATCCCTGGAAGGACAGAACAATTTCCTTCCTTATAGACACTCCAAGGCAAGGTGTGGAAACCATCTCCCCTCAGCTCCCCTCCGATGATAGATGGGGCAACTGGAGATTTTACCTTCAGTGTTTATTTGTTTTTTAATAAGATGTTAAAATCTGGATAACTAAATTTAAGACTGGGGGAAATGAGTGTTTTGTCCCACCCCATACTCCCTCCTTCCTCAAGTGTGTAAAGACCATACATGCTGCCCAAGAGGCAAAATGGGAAGTGGAGAGGGAAAATTTTTCAATGATGGCTTTATGCATACTGGTTTCTAAATTGGTTTGTGGGTTTTAGTTGTGTTCTAGCTCCCATTGGATCACTGTGCCACTTGAGAGACCTTTTGAATTAGCTGTTTAGAAATCTTGAACATAAGATAAAATTACTACAGCTGCAGATGGCCAGTTATATCCCCAGGGGCCCACCTTTTTTAATGATACATGTTTAGTACGTACATACATTTTGCAGAGGAAAAGTTTTTCTCATGGTTTAATTTGCAGTGGACCTATGGCCTTCGATACAATAAAATGCTAAAGAGTCTTAACTGAGGAGGATCCTCTCCTGCCATAGAGTCTGCAGCTCCTTCTGCACTCTATGGGGCGCTACCTTTGAAGGTGACCCGGAAACTAGATCAAATCCAGAATGCAGCAGCTAGACTGGTAACTGGGAGCAGCAGCCAACTAAGACCTGAAAGACCTACATTAGCTCCCAGTATGTTTCCGAGCAAAATTCAAAGTGTTGGTGCTGACCTTTAAAGCCCTAAATGGCCTCAGCCTGTATACCTGAAGGAGCATCTCCACCCCATCGCTCAGTCCTGACACTGAGGCCCAGCTCCAAGGGCCTTCTGGCGGTTCCCTCCCTGCGAGGTTACAGGGAACCAGGCAGAGGGCCTTCTCGGTAGTAGCACCCGCCCTGTGGAAAGCCCTCCCATCAGATGTCAAGGAAATAAACAACTATCTGACTTTAAGAAGACATCTGAGGGCAGCCCGGTTGAGGAAAGCTTTGAATGTTTCATCTTTTATAGTGCTTTTAATTTTCTGTTGGGAGCCGCCCAGAGTGGCTGGGGAAGCCCAGCTAAATGGGCGGGGTATGAAGGAATAAAATAATAATTATTCCTCCTGCTCCTCTCTGGCTGGCAGGAGACTCTCCTGACTCCCTGTTTACTCCCTGCCATTCCTCCCCATTCCCTGCCCTGCGGCCTTTGCTGGGCGCTCCTTCTGCGTTCTCTGGACAGAGGAGCGGGAGAAAAGGCCGCAGGATGAGGCCAGAGGCCGGTCAAGGCCAGCGAGGAGCGTCGCTTCGGCCTCCCGCTTCCCCTCCCAGGAGAAGACGACCTTTCCCCGTCGCCCCTGAGTTCCCCCCAGGAGGGACGCGGCTCCCTCCCTCTCGCCCCCCGATTCCGCCCCTGGCTCGGCCCCCCCGACCCCCCAGTTACCCGCCTCCAGGGAGGACAGCATCAACCCGGGAAGCGGAACAGGAAGCGGAAGCGCCTCCTCTCTCCCCCAGTCTTCCCTTCCGCTCTAGGAATCGAAGCTCTGTCGCCGCTGTTAACCCTTGCGCAGCCGCGGGGTAGGAGCCTCTTGGCTGCTCCGGGCAGAGAGGGAGCCCGGCTGGTCTCCGGCTCTGAAGCAGGAGGGGGAAACCCGGCTGCAGGATCAGGCCAGCGGCGCCCCCAGGACTGAATCCCTCCTCCGCAGGCGCTCCAAGCAGGATCTGAGTTCAAGAGCAGCTTTATCCTCACCTTTAGTATTCTACTTATTTATACGTATCCCCCTTTTTTCCCAGACCGAGAGCCAAGGCGGCTTACAAAGGGTTGCCATGGTTATAAATTCTATTTTGTGAAATCAGCTGAGAAGTCCAGCGGCTGTAAAAAGATGAGTGCTTTAAATATTTTCAAATGACAGAATACCTGACAGAATCTTGAGTTTGGATTGGCTATTTTGGATCCAACTGAGTCCTTTCCAAGTGTTCCTCTAAAATGGTGCATGCACACAGGCAAACAAACCCCCACAAGGGACCTTGGTTTCGTGGCTTAGAATAGCACACACGATGTGGAAATTCATGAAGGAGGTCCTGACCGGGGATCAAAATAAAACTAGGTAATGGAATAAAAAAAATATTTATTGTGCACACAGGTAGGGCTCGTGTCACATGATTTTTTCCCCACGCACCAAAATATAGTTGGGACTGGCCACTGAGACTACATAACACCTGTCCTGAAAGACCTACATTGGCATCGGATGACAATCAACCAAAGACCCGGTTAAAGAGGAACGTTTTTGCCTGAATTCAAGCTCGTCCAGTTGAAGTTGAAGGTCAGAAGATTCAGGGCAAGACAAAAAGAAGGCCTTGTTCACACAGCACATTATTAAACGATGGAACTCTCTTCCACAAGAGGCAGTGACGGCCACAAACTTGGATGGTGTTAAAATACAATTGGAAAAGATTCATATAGAGGAGACGGCTATCAATGGCTGCCTGCCACAACAGCTACCATGCATTCCATCTCCACTGCAGTGATGCTTCTTGGTCCAACTTGCTGGGAACTCCTCTCAATTCCGCCTTCCATTGGCCGGCTTTCTTGAGCACGCAAAATTGATTAGTGTCAGAGTTGCTTCCAGATCCTAGCTCACAGAGGATCACGCTAGCCAGCGGTCATTAAATAAAAGTCTTTATTGAGTTACAGTTTCCATTCTCAAGCTGCTGCGTGCAACCCTACGTCTAATGGTTAGATCGGCGAAGCTCCATCTGAGTCTCCGCCCCTTGTACACCAACTTAATATCCTAGCCTTGCTCCACCTTTTCCGCCTGACCTTCTCTGGG